TCAATCGAATTGTATTTCTCAAGGATCAAAATGTACTCAGCTGATAGTAATATAATGGTTTACAATTCAACTTATATAATACTATAATCCTTGAAATACAATCCTTTTAGGATTTATAAAATATAGAATATATAAAATGAGAACTTTCTGCTTTTTCTTTCCTTAAAAGAGCAGAGAACAGGAGCGAGAATGGAAAAGTTAAGTAGCATGTTTTGAAGAAATCTTTCCATCTGACTTAAAAACTAATTGTTGACCTCTGTTTTTAAAAAATGACTTTATTCTAGACTTGTTAAAGCCTCCATTGATATGTACCATCTCAGTTTTTCCTTTGTCACTTTGAGGACAGTCACCTATACTACTCTTTTTTTACTCTCTGCATTTTTATTCCAGGTGGACTCCATAAAAAAATGCATCCAGGGAACACAGGACAAGATTGTACTTGATAACCATAGACAGAGTCATAATAAAATGAACACCTTTTTGGTTGAAGTAAGTCAGGTGAATGTGAATTTTTGCAGGAGATCAGCATCTATGTAAATCAGGGGTGGGGAGTGCTCAGCCCCCTGGCTTCATAGGCCCGAGAAATCATTTGGTTTGGCCCTACCAAGGCAACGGCAGGCAGGACTCAAAATTCAATAAATGTAGATGCTTTTTTCATAGCAACTTAAATTTCCATTAAGCAAATGATGTTATAAATATCCAAATGGGTGTTAGAGAAAAGAAAGGCCCCCCACATCTGATAAATGATATTAACATAATTGAATTCTGTGAAAAATATGTTCCCTAAGTCTCTGTTTCATGTTTCAGTGTAATCACCACTTACTAGTTGTCTTAGAATACTGAGCTTCAGATTCTTAACAAACGTGTGAGTTTTAGATTGGTTTTACATTTTGTACATTGGTTCTGTCACCACCTGTGTGATGACACATCACAGATATATGTCACCTTTTATGAGCATTTTATTGCAACTCAGCAAACAGTCTTATGGACTTAGCCACAGTATTAAAGTCTCCATTTTAAAAACGATGTAATCTCATTTACTAAACAGTTCTGTACATTTATTCAGACATCAGTTTTAGAAATTTTGAGACATATACAAGCACGAAACCAGCAATAAACAAGCCGCTGTGAAGATTTGGCATGATTGATGCTCTAAACTTGTCATAGAAATTTTAATTATTCCCTATAGTTTTAGTAATAAATACTCTGCAGTCTCTCTGTGTCACTCATCTTCCAGCGTTCTGTATATTTCAAGAGAAGCTTTTGGGGTTAAAGTGTGAAAATAAGTAGTAAATACGTGTGCCTAAAATTGCAAAGCACAACATTTTCCTATTTTCTGTCTCTTGAGTTGCTCCCAATACAAAACAATTATTAAATAATTACTGTGGAAAATATTTAAAACCAATCACTAATTTGGGGTCAAATCTAACAAAAATATAAAAAGTGTTAAGTAAATAAAAAGCCTAATTTGCCAGGCTTCATGGCTCAGTTGGTTAGAGCATCATCCCATGTACCAGAAAGGTCAGGGCACGTACCAGGTTGCAGGTTTGATCCCAGGGCCCTTCCTCCCTCCCTCCCTCCCTCCCTCCCTCCCTCCCTCCCTCCCTCCCTCCCTCCCTCCCTCTTTCCTTTCCATCACTCCCCTCCTCCTTCCCTTCAGCATGGTTACAGGGTCTTCTGTAGTTCAGTTTTACATGAGCTTCTGCAATTTTTTTTTTCCTGTAACATGGTCCTTAGATCTTTTGGATAATCAGAAAGTGTTAAGTAGAAATATATGTGCACTTTTTAAATAGTTATTTACATATGGCATGATTAAGCACTTATGTTTACTTGAAATATAGCAGTAGGTAAATCTGGTAAGTTTTGAGGTAACACTTTTTTTCCAACTTAAAATATCTTTAAGAAATCCACTAAACCTAAAATGCTTTGATAAAAAACTGTTCTTATTGTATGATATGTCATCATTTTCTTCTATGACTTGGCATGGTTTAGAAAATCAGGACTCCTCTAAAATCTAGGAAGGCTGATTTTCACCTATATTTCCACATTTTGCTCACTCGTTTCTTTCCATGTGGTTTCCTAGATATTTATTTATTTCTGTATTTATTTTTTTACCAATACAGACTGTGAAAATTAGGAATTGCCATAATTTATGCATGAGTTTTTCCCCTGCTCAGATATTCCCATACACTAAGTACCTATATGAGAGCGAATTTTAAGGCCAATGAACTTCAACACAGAAACAGACTCCTCTTGGGCAGTGCCTACGGATGTCCACCTCCTAACCACATCCTCTGCCCAAATTCTCTGAACCCTAACCACAACTCTCCTTCAAAGGCTAAAATTATTTGTGACTTTTAGGTCGTGTTGGGTTTTCCTGGGCTAACCAATGGTTGCCAAGGTAACAACCTTATATGCCATTGACATGATTTCTTCCTTGTCCACTTGCCATTTGTCCATGTCTACCAGGTCTCCCCGGACAGGAATTTATTTTGTGGGGAATAAGTTTCATGCTCATTTCTCTTTATGTATTTTTATAGTTGGGTAAGAAGGGATTTTTTTTTTTACAGTAATCTCCATTACCATTTGTATGTATCAGTCCCTTAAATTATTAATACAAATAAAGCACTTTGCTGGGAAGCAATATGGCACTATGCATTGAAGATAAATTCATATTTTTGTAATTAAATAAGCAGGGACCATCCACTTTATCAGCATGATGAACTGTAGTGGCATAAAGTACTTCAACCGTATGGCGGTGCCTCACAGATGGCACCGGGGTTTGGCAGGCCTTTATTCATCCACCGAGTAAATATTGAACACTTTCTGAATTCTAAGTGCTGTACTAGGTGTTGGGGAAAAGTAACCCAATCGTGCTCACACCACTGGAATCCACATTGCATGTGTATCTATCTGATTATAACCTAGGGTTAGGGGACCACTCAAGTGGCAAAGCATTTCTATTACAAGGTCATCCTAAATGCACTTCCTTTTTCTAACGTAGGTAGTTTTGTCTTATCCCCCATGAGGTGGCCTGTGAGATCATCTGATTGGTGGCATAGAGAGATTTCACCATGGGGTTTTAAGATAGATTACTTAACACCATTTTCCCCAAAACCTGGACTCTTGGAACTACCATGAATTAACATAAGCACCCACAGTAGATCTTGTCTTTTCACTCAGTTTGGCATAGGCGTTTAAACTGATGATTCCTGACTGAACTGGGCTGGTGTACAGAGTAATCTAATAGAAACACAGTACCTGTTAAAGTTAATTCTTCTCCAAATGCCTACTAAACTCAAAGGAAAATGTTGTTACCATGAAGAAATATAAATAAATCATAAGGTATTTGTTTGTTTTTAACCATGAAAGCAATAATGAAATCTGAAAATTAAAATCTTCACAAGAAAATGTTAATTTGTTTACAAAATGAATGCTCCCAAGAATACAAAGCACATTTTGTGTAGGCCTAACTTAAAAGACTGTTGTGTTTGCTGGGAAATTTTTTTTTTAAGTGCAATTCTCAAAACTTAATGTAGTAATCTACTTGTGCCGAAAAGATATAAAGCTTAGCTATTAAGGTTAGCATAGATGTAGACTGTAAGCAAAACATTTCATAATAAATATTTAGATATGCTACTCCGAGGAGAGGGCAGAGAAATTGCTGTGAGGGAGTCAACATTATTGTTTTCTTGTCCAATAAATAGGTCAAACTATGGAAACTCTTTATGGAACCCACAACATTTTATTGGTTTTAGAATCTGAGTTAGTGTTTAAATATCCAAAAGACTGGAAAATACTGTTAGTGAAAATAACCAGAGAAGATAATGAGCCAGAGTACCTATATTTACCGCTCAAATCAGTCCTTAAATAGCATTCTGAAAAGTCACTTCACTGACCCTCTAGATCAGTTCCATGAATCTTCTCCAGGCTTGTAGGAATTAACAATGTATGCAAAAAAGGGAACATTTAGCAATTTGAATAGTCACAAGTCCTCCCATATTTAAAATAAATGAAATCAGCTTATTCAGATAATAAGTAAACCCAATTCTAACCCAACCAAAACTTAAACTTTGTAATGTTAGCAGCTAATTTACATATTAAACAATACTTAAATAACATCAGTACCAATGAATATTGTGATATATATATATATTTTGTTAATCCTCACTCAAGGATATATATATATATTTCCCATTGATTTTTAGACAGAGTAGAAGTGAGGGTAAGAGAGAGAGAGAGAGAGAGAGAGAGAGAGAGAGAGAGAGAGAGAAAGAGAGAGAGAGAGATCAATGTGTGAGAGACAAATGTTGTGTTGTCTCCTGCCCAGGGGTGAGGATCCTGCAACTCAGGTAGTACCCTTGACAGAGAATCAAACCCTCAACCCCTTGGTCCAAAGGTGGATGAGCAAAATCAGCCAGAGCTTATGGATACATTTTTAAATCTTAATTTTTTTTTTTTTAAGTAAGGGGGCAAAAGAGTGACGCAGAGAAAAAGAGAGTAAAAGAGAACACAGAAGAACAAGGACTTTGAACAAAAAAAAAAATGGTTGCCTTGTCTTTGATGATCTATGCATTAAATCCCCCGTGTGCTCAGTATACGGGAATATTAACTTTCCCCACCCAACCCTCACCACAGACTAAGATCACTTATAAAGAAACACATATTCAACTACAAATGGCAGAGACTCAAAAACACTAGATTGTTATTAATATATTTTCCCTTTGTTTATGTTTCAATGCTTCTGGCACACGGGGGATTATCTATGCTGAGACCATTCAGCCTTATATCAAAAATTTTACTTCAATGCATACACAGTGGCATGCCAGAGATGCCTAAATTCACAGTAAGGTTTAAGGCTACTCGTTGCCGAAAGCTGTGAACATGCATTGTTGATTAAGTGTTCCCATTCATGCTCCTGTCTGGATTACTTCATTGGATAATGAGATAGGTTCCCCTTTCTGTCCATCATTAGAGCAGCTGGAGACAGCATTGGCTACCTGGCAAAACTTCCGAAGGAGGATCTTTCTTAGCAGCAGATAGACCCAGGGATCCAAGATCTGGTTCAGGGAAGCCAGGCGCACAGCTATCAAGAAGAAGTTGCATTCCTTCTGCTTTTCTGAGTGCGTCTTGCAGTGTTCAACTGATGTCTGATTGAAGATCATTTTCAACATCATTATCTAAGAAAGAGGGACAAATAATTGTTCCAAAGATTAATAAGGTCATATGCATCTCCTCTAAATAGCACTTTGCACACAGTCGGTTTTTAATACATTGGTGCTTGCAGTGAAATGAATTTCAAGCAACATTTATGCTCACAGAACACAGCCCTGAATTATACAAGACATTTCTAGGGATGTTCCCACATTTTTGGCTATTTGACAGGATGCAGCTTTTTTAAAAGTGTATGTTCTCAGGCTCTTGATTCTTGGGATTTAAGAAGATTTAAAATAACACATTTCAAAATTAGCTCAAGTTATTTGTCTTGTTGCAGAAAACACAGCATGCTGATACCAAAATGAGAGCTACATAATCAAAATGCTACATAATCAAAACATATTTAATCTTAAATTTCAGTAGTTATAACTAAAAATAAATATTACTGAAGAAAAACAGAAGCAAGAAAGAAGAAAATAATAATAATAATATTTTCTGAATCCTAACAGTTTGCCAACTACTGTGTCAGGAACACATAATACAATATACAGATGATATATCTTGGAATTATACATACACATGAAATAAATCTATATAACAGTATTAACCAATGTCACTACAATAAATTCAATAAAAAAGAAAAAATAAGTAAGATTGATATTCTTGCCATCTTCTTTTTACAATTTCAGAAACCAAGGTTTGATGATGTAAAATGGCTGAGCCAGATTTAAACCCAGGTTCACTGACTTCACATGGCACATGGCATTTTACTTTTTTGTCTCTGCCTCCTCGCCACATATACACATAGACTCCATGAAGGCAGGATTTGGGACTGTTTTTCCCCTACAAATATATTTACAGTACCTAGACCAATATTTAGCAGGTAGTGATCAATAAGTATTTGTGAATGAAAATATTATATGACATGTATGTGAATATGTTATGTGATTATATATATATATATATATTGTGTATATGTATATATATATATATATATATATATATATATATATATATATATAATGTAATGCACATATTTCTATTTGAATGAATAAATATTTGTGATTTGCCCAGAAGGGAAAAATTGAAGGTTCATATGTATTTGAAAAAATAATTAAGCTCATTAATCATCATAAAAATGAAAATTGTGAAAAAATAACAAACCCTTTTATACCCAATAGTTTCACAAAAATGAAGAAATGTGACTTTTCCAAATGTCAATGAGAATGTGGAACAGCGAGGACTCTCACACATTGCTAGAGAGAGTGTGAGGTGGAGCCACCACTTGGAAAACAACGGGACGCTATTTCATCTGCTGCCTCCCAACTGCCCTGCTCCTGGGAATATGCTGGGCAAGAACAACCCAAACATAGGTTCACGTGCATAAGCAAAGGAAGGAGCTGACATTACAACTGGTTTCTAAATTCATCTTTCTAGGTGCCTGGCTATTTAAAGTGCTTGAAATGTGACCAACACAAATCAAGATGTTGGAATATGTAATGACTATATACCAAAATGGTAATATTTTCCTATATTGCATTAAATAAAATATAGTATTAAAACATCACTTGTTTCTTTTTTACTTTTTCTATTATATAGCTACTAGAAAATTTAAAATGATATACGGATCCTATATGTGTTCCTCACAGCACATTTCTATTAAAACCACTGTGCCTCTGGAGGCCCATACTTCCTGGGATGGTCTGTCCTCAGGTCGCACATTCCAAATTGAAGTCAATATCCCTGAACATCTGAAACATCCGAACCACAGTCCCTCATTCTTACACAGTCGCCTGGCCCCACGTGTCAGAGACATCTTTGAATCCTCCTTTGCTTCATCCTCTGTGCTGCCTTTTTTTGCTTTCATTCTAATCTCATGCTAGTTCATTTCCTTCACGCATGTGAATTTAGTAATAACAGACACCCAGATGGTTAGCACATCACAGATGCAGCAACCTAAATCCCAGCTCTGATCAATCAGCTATAAAAACTTCAACTTGGTCTTATTGGACTGAGTTGAGTCAGAGATAATTCTTAAATCAATTATTGGCAAAGGAAATAAAAAAAAGCCAGGTTTGGTTTATCAGACACATTTATTACCTGTGGCTTAACCTGGGCCTTTGACCAAATTAGCACCTAATACCTAAACAAAATTATGGTCCTATAAATAAAAAGAGGGGAATGGGTAGGCAACCAGTAATTAGACAACACATCTTCTGAGTCCATAATTTCTTTCAAATGATTTTTTCCAAGGGATTTATTCAATAAAAGCAAAAAACAGCTGCATAAATAATTGAATGTTCAGTGAAGCATTCTACACCATATAAAACTGTGAACATACGAATCTCTAACATCAGGAGTACAGCTTGATAAAATACAAATATTCCCTTCCTTCTGTGTGGGTCTCAAAGCTCCCTTGACCAGTTGATGATGAGGCTGATCAGAAGGCGTGACCGTGCAGCGTATCCATGCACCAGCTAAAGGGAAGCTCTGGCTTTTGTTTGTCCTTCTCCCTTGTGTAAGGGGTAGAATAGCATGTTTAGCTCACATAATAGTGTATATAAGAATTAAGTGAAAAGAACAGATTATAAGATAGTATTATGTATGTAAACATTATTCCCTTCACTAATAAATATGAATTTATTATACTCATTTATTATATACCAAATATGTTTAAAATTAATATATCTACATGATATCTTCTAATGCTGGTTCATAGTCCTGTGAACTGAACACTACCTCCCACTGTGGTATGCAAATGACCCAAAGATATCCAGGTCTCGTCCCAGGAACCTGTGAATATATTACCACACGTGGCAAAAAGGGACATAGCAGCCCTGGCTGGGTGGCTCAGTTGGTTGGAGCATTGTCCCAAAATGCCAAGGTTGTGGGTTGATTCTGGTCAGGACACATACAATGAATGCATAGATAAGGGAAACAACTGATTGATGTTTCTCTCTCTCTCTCTCTCTCTCTCTCTCTCTCTCTCTCTCTCTCATCTCCTTTACTTCCTCACACTCTCCCTCCCTTCCTCTCTCTCTCTCAAAGTAAAAATAAAATAAAAATTTAAAAAGGATGTAGATGTGATTTGCATTAAGGGCCTTGAGGTGAGGAGATTGTCTTAGAGTATCCAGGTACGTTCAATGTATCATCACATGCTCCTCAATATCTGAGAACCTTTTCCAGCTGTGGCCAGAGGAAGACATGACTACAAAAGAATAGTCAGAGCAATATAATGTTGCTGGTTTTGAAGATGAAGGAAAGAAACCATGAGATAAGGAATATAGATGGATGGCCTCTAGAATAGAAAAAAGCAAAAAGTCAGTCTCAGATTCTCTTTCAGAGCATCCAGAAAAGAAAAAAAATGCAGCTCGATGGACACTTTGATATTAGCCCAGTGAGACGATGTCAGGCTTCTAACCAACAAAACTGGAGGAGAAATTTGTGTTGTGTTGTTTCAAGCCACCGAGTTTATAGTAATTTGCTAAACAGCTACCACAGGAAAACTAATACACCCACAGAGTGAGCACTCAGCAAGTGTTGCTAGGGGATGGGGAGGAATGAGCTTGAAAATGATTTATTCCCTCTCATAGATAACACATCCTGGCAAGCTTGTTCACTTTCTTAGGAAACTTTAACATAAATAAAGTAAAAGTAAACTTCATTCTCACCCCTGTCTAAATTATCTCAATTTCTAAATTTGCAACATGTAAAAATGAATTCTTTTTACTCTAGTGACATCAATTGGATTTCAGTGTATTCAACTAAAAGGTATAAAACTGTATTTTCAATTCAGTTGTCTTTATAAAAAAGATATGTGGCTAGTGCCCTGCCAGTGTGGCTCAGTTGGTTGAGTATCATCCCATGCACTGAGGTCACGGATTGATTCCCAGTCAGGGCACTTGCCCAAGGTTGCAGGCTCAATCCCCAACAGGGGGCATGCAGGAGGCAACCAGTGGATGGTTCTCAATCATAAATGTTTCTTTCCCTCTCCCTCTCCCTCCCCTCTCTCTCTCTCAAATCAATAATATATTGATTTGAAAAATACTTTCTAGCTCTCAAATCATTTGGGAGAGAGCTAGCAAGTATTTTTTTCTTCTTTTTATAAACAATTGAAATTGGAAAGGTTTTATCTAGCTCTTTCAGCCTTTCATCTTGTCTAATAATTAAATACATTTCACCATTAACCATCTTCCAGAAAGTGTTCTGAGCCTGGTTTAGAATGATCTAAAAACTCATTTAAATTACATTTCCATCTTCCCTTATATAATAAAGTATTGAATTTCTCCAAGTTTTTATAATCAGGAAAATTTACAAAAAGTCTCTTATTAAAATGAGATTTAAGTCACTTTATACAGTTCTCCTTGATTATTATAAAATTAATTTTATGAGGCTAATAATACTAAATAATTTTTATTGGGCTAATATAGATTTCATATGCCTTACATGGATTAGTTGACTGTAATTTCCAGTAATTTCCTATTGATAATGCAGTGATTATGGCATTATAAAATCCAGCTCTGTAAGCAAGAGCTGGCACGTGGGGAGAGACATTCCAGCATTCCCCAGAAATAATGAGATGTGCACTAGGAAGATAATTTGAATTAGAGGCAGTGAGTATGATATTGCCATTTCCAAATTGCAGCAAGGATGGAAGTAGGACCCCAATTTCCTCATCTAATTCTGAACATAAATGCAAGTTAGCATCCATCTGTTGGTGTGCTCCTATGTTCAAGGAGCACAGTCATTATGATTTTTACAAATATCTTTTAGATGGTCAGACTTTGAGAGGAAAAACTTTGGTGTGAATATGCAGAGTTCTGGTAGAATTAACTATTCCTGTTAAGTCCAATTTTATTCCTTTTAAAGGGAGGACAAACAAAAACCAGGACGCTGGGACAGCACAGAGGCTAATTTTTATTTTAGCAAACACATGTATACGCAGTAAGACTGCTCCTTCCAATCAGCCTTATATGATGAACTAGCTGTCATAGGAGCCTTGGGACCAATTCTGGCTGATTAG